TACTTTATTCTGGATATTGTAAGATGCCTTCAGGTTGTTTTGCATCAAAGTGATAAATGAAATAAATAAGTTTAATGGTAATCATGGTATGATGAGATGTTTCTAGACACTGCTTTTCTTACGTTCCATTCAATATACATAGCAACACGGGAAGCTTCCAATCAGACAACTGACCCATCTAGCTCAGTATAGTTGACACTGACTGGCAACTGGTCTCTGGGGTTCAAGACCAAGGTCTTTCTGAACCCTAACTGGAGATGCCTGGGATTGAACCCAGGAGCTTCTGCATGCAAAGCAGATATTCTACTGTTGAGCTATGGCCCTTCCCAGAAGGCAAGAGTGAGGAACCTTCAGCCCTCCAGCTCTTTTTCTGAACTGCAACACCCATATTCCAAGCAAGCATTGCCAAGACCTGAAGGTCCCCCACACCTGTCCTAAGGGATGCAGATGTTGGAGTCAGTCTGGGGACACCATGTTTATAGCATATATGTTTCTATGATTTTATGTCCAGGCACTGCCCCTTTCTCTTTGTAATGACAATTGCCATTTGGGTTATAGTCGAACCAAGAAGGAAGGGGAGCCATTCTGCTGCTATGATTGTCTTCCCTGTCCAGAAGGGAAGATCTCAAACCAGAAGGGTAAGTAGTATAATGGAAAACTTTCACAAATGACTTAACCACAAGATGTTTAACTATCTCTTCACACATGCTGTGTTATTTAATTTTACTTTGCATGGGTAGTGCAAAGTGACCCAGCTTCGTCCTGTGGCCCAGCTACTCCCCTATCTCGACAGGGATAGCCTAATTACTGTTGTCTATGCTCTGGTAACCTCTAGGTTAGATTACTGCAATGTGTTATACGTAGGACTGCCTCTGAAGATGGTTCAGAAACTTCAGCTAGTGCAGAATTCAGCAGCCAGGTTGCTCAAGGGAACAAGATGGTTTGAACATATTACACCAGTCCTGGTCCAACTGCACTGGCTACCTATGAGTTTCCGGGCCCAATTCAAAGTGCTGGTTTTGACCTCTGAAGCCTTAAACTGCTCAGGACCGCAGTACCTCAAGGACCGCCTCTTCCCGTATGAACCTACCTGGACCCTGAGATCATCTTCTGAGGCCCTCCTTCGTGTGCCGCCTCCTCGAGAGGTCTGGAGGGTGGTAACACGAGAACAGGTCTTCTCTGTAGTGGCTTCCCATCTATGGAATGCTCTCCCCCCTTTTTTTACAGAGCTGGATGAAATTTCTAGGGATAGTATCCACTTCAGAGTGGAATCCACAACTAGGTTCCACACCTACTATCTCTGAGTACAGTATCCTGAATATATAATTGCATAAGAAAGACAGAGATATGTCTGTCATACATCTACCAAGAACACATCTTTCTAGGTTTTGTAGAATTAATATTGGCTACCCCATGTGTCCGCTTAGTGATTATTATTATTCCTTTATTCTTGATTATTCCGCTGTAAACAGGGCTTCTGTATTTCAAACCTTATGTTTTCTTTTCCAGACATGGATGACTGTTTGCAATGTCCAGAGGATCAGTATCCAAATAATGCCCAGGATTCATGCATTCCAAAAGTCATAAGTTTCCCGTCTTACGAAGAAGCTTTGGGGATGACTCTGGCAATATTGGCTCTTTCCTTTTCATTCATTACAGCTTTAGTGCTTGGCATCTTCGTTAAGCACCAGGGCACTCCCATTGTCAAAGCCAACAACCGGAATCTCACCTACACTCTCCTCATGTTCCTCCTTCTAGCCTTCCTTTGTGCTTTGCTGTTCATTGGCCAACCAAAAACGCTGACATGTCTTCTTCGACAAACTGCTTTTGGCATTATCTTCACGGCAGCTGTGTCTTGTGTTCTGGCCAAAACCACCATTGTAGTTCTAGCTTTCATGGCCACCATGCCTGGATCCCAAATGAGGAAATGGTTGGGGAAGAGACTGGCTGCTTCCATTGTTCTTGGCTCCTCTCTGATTCAAACTCTGATTTGCACGGTGTGGCTCTCAACCTCTACCCCATTCCCAAATTTCAACATGCACTCAGTTGTTAAAGAAATTATACTAGAATGTAATGAGGGCTCAGTCGCCTTGTTTTACTGTGTCTTGGGCTTCATGGGTTTGCTTGCCACTGTCAGCTTCTGTGTTGCTTTCCTAGCCCGTATGTTGCCTGATAGTTTTAATGAGGCCAAGTTTATCACCTTCAGTATGTTGGTCTTTTGCAGTGTTTGGTTGACCTTTGTCCCAACCTATCTCAGCACAAGGGGGGAATATATGGTTGCCGTGGAGATTTTCTCCATCTTGGCCTCCAGTGCTGGGTTGCTGGTTTGTATCTTTTCTCCAAAGCTCTATATCATCCTGTTGAGACCTGAGCTGAACAACAAGGAACAGCTAAGAAGAACAAAACAATGAAATGTCGGAAATCAAGCCTTTATCGGGAGAAACTGGCAACTCTCCCAGGCACACGGCTTGGTCTCCTGTTGACCTCCCTGGCTGCATTCCCAGCAAGATCCAGGCTAGGTCTCAATAGGCGATTCTTCCCAAACGTGGGAAGAACACCCCCCCTCCCTCCTGCTCCCCCAGCAGGGAAAAGGAGATAGACAGAAACGTATTTACATGCTTTTATTTCTGTCTTTGCAGCATTACAGAAAACATGACTGCTCTCTTCAAACTCCAGCAGTCAAGTGACACAGACTTCCTGTACTTCCTGTACAAGAGCAAGAGGAAGAGCTCATATTACACTCTGAGCTAATTCCGGTGCATTGCCCTGTGAATTGACTGTCCCACTGTTTCCCACGGAACAGTCCCAACATTCCATCATGTGATGTTTTCAAGCCAGCAGTTTGCAGCTGCATTGCGTCCGTATTGTAACATGAAATATTCTAAATTATTTGGCCCTGGTCCATTTTAAATTAGCAATGTGTAAGTGACAGGAATTAAGCCAGGGAGAAATAACTCATTCCTGTGGCCTTTTATACTGAGGGGGAATGTATTGTTTTGTTATTGTGGTATGTATTTTTATGTTTTTATACTGTAAACTGCCCTGTGATCTTCGGATGAAGGGTAGTCTAGGAATCTAATAAAGAAAACATACACATGGGCTAAATTATGCTGTAATTTATTGGACTAAGACCTATGTTACTGTTGCATTCTTTATTATTTATTTACTGTAGATAAAATGCAATGTGAACTGCGATTTGGATCTAGCCTTACTCATATTTAGAATAGACTGAAAGAAATGAAACCTAGAATAGTCTCAGTGATGTACAATATTTATGTTTAATTGACTTCTAAATATCTAGACAAAAGAAAATATATGTGAGATACTGGGCTGGATCCAGACTCATAACAGTACTTATCTTCGAGTGAAATAGGCTAAACTACTAAAATTGTCTGGATCAAAACCTTATTTTTTTTTAATCAACAGAAGCAACTGAATACTTATTGCACTTCCAGAAAAAATAATCCATAATTGTTGCTCTAATAGCTTGTGTGGAGAAAAGCTGAGTATTTGCCAGTTTGTTTAAGTTTTGTACTTTGGAAAAAGATTTACGTGACTTCTGCTGATGTCAGTGTACAAGTGACACAGTGTACAGTGAAGTTTGAGACATGCGTCGCAGTCCTGAGTTGCTTAAGGCCTGAGCCACAGCAGAGGGATTTGCATTGCCTTATCCAAAACATTGAAAGAAAGTAATGTGAATCATTTTTATAACCCGATCAGCCCAAGTGAACCTTTCCTCCTCTGGAGACAAGTCAGGATGTTTCTTTGCTATGTAACCAATGTCATGGAAATCACTGTATCCTGCTCAATACACAGTATGTATGAGAAGGAAATAGGGGCAAAAGTCTGGATCACAACAGCTTTCCATGAAGTCAGCATGGACTTCTCAATTTCTCCTAATGACTTGCAGTATCTTCAGAGTTCTCTCTCTTTTGCAGTGAAGACCACAACAAGGAGCACCAAACATGATTACTATGAAATATAGTCCTAACATCTCCAGGTTTTTTTTAAGGGAAGCATTTTGGTGTTCATGTTCAAAGCATGTGTTATCCGTGAAAGGCTGGATCAGCTGGAGACAGGAGGAGAAACTGGAGATGTTGAAATTCTACTCTTTTGTATCTATTTTAAAATTTTATTTTCTATTTGTTGCAGCTTGCCATAACCTCGTGGTGAAGGGCGGGTAATTAATTTTAAAAGTGAAATACATCTGCAGGGTGGGCCATAGAGAAAGATTCCCCCCTCTGGTCTGTTTCCAGGCCTTGCCCACTTCATCCAGACAGAGCCCATGTGCCAGACATCTTATCAGTGGGCATGGTGGCACAAGAAGTTCTATTGACTGTCTCCCCCCAGATGCAGTGACACCACAAAGAAGGACCAAATGTGGTTTTTCATTTGAATTCTAAAACATTCAAGTTTTCAAAATAAGGGTCCATTTGGAACTTCTGCAAAAGTTGACTCCACCTCAGTGATTAAATATAGTTCAAACCAGTTACATGCCTTTGCTGTTTTTCTTTTTAAGACCTCAGTTGTGAACACATTTGTAACTATAACAAGTTAAAACTTCCTTCCACTGAGGATTGTCCAGAGAAGATTTCAGCTGAGATGTGAAAAACATGTTTTCTTTTGCAATATTGCAGAGAAACAATGAATCCGATCAAGTTCTTAACAGACCTGCAATTATCAAATTAATCACCATTATTTGTACTTCTTCCCCCCATCCTTGGAGCGGTCTACTGGTCCCATGCAAAATAACAATCAAAGACTAAGAGATGTTATTAATATCTAAGAGTCACTCAGAGCTGGGCCTATAGACATAGCTCTGAATGGCCACCTATTCTTTATTCTGTATTTTTTGCCCTTGAATCAGCTGGGTGAGTGATCATTCAAATTCCACTGAATAAGAATCACAGAGCAGATGGCTTGGTGTCTACCATTAAACTCTCTGCAAGATGTTATTATTTGGGGTGGTGGTGTTCCTACTGCTGTCCCAGGGGATATGCATGCTTGCTGCTCTCCCTCAATGTTCTATCAATGAACCTGTTCCTATTATTCACAAATATTATCAGTCGGGAGACCTCATCATTGCTGGCATTATTTCCCAGATCTACATATCTTCAAGCACCATATCCTTTGAACAACATCCGGCTCTGGAACTTTCCAATGACCACATGTATGTTGCTTTAAAGCCATATCATAGTGTTTTAGTGATACTATTCCCAGTCATGCTGCTCTGTTGTATGGGATTTGGGAACAAACTGTTGAAAGCGCATATTGCTTTATTGATTGTCTTTAGGGTCAGTCAGTTAGTTTGGGGGATTATTACTGAGGATATCTGAAATCTCTGTCCCTCTTTTTAATGCGAGGATGAGCAAACTACAGATTAATCATTTTCTCGTTACATGGTAGTCTGGACAGCATATTGCTTTCAATTGTACTTCATAGAGATGATCACTATCTCTCCACTTTGATGCTAAACGTTTGGGACTTTTCTTGGAACTGATATAAAGAGGGATACTATATGTAATGTCTTGAGTTTCAATGAAATATTTCAGGGTATGTTCATCAACATTAAAGCCATAACAGATGTTGTGAGAGCTGCTGATTTCCAAGAGTTTAGAAAGAGTGATGCTCTGAGGGGTCTTGACAAAAGAAAATATTTGTCCAGGATTAACTGTTTCTGAAGCTTGAAGTAGAGTTCCAAGAGGCAATGAGAAAAACATCAGGGAGTCTAGCTTGCTTGATCCGTTCTATTTCACATGATCAGATCAGAAGAATCTTTATTTGCAGCTGTAACTAGCCATAGCAATAAAGTAAAATATACTGAAGATAGACATAAAAAGTGAATTATACATAATACATTTTAGAGGTTTACATCAATAATAAAAAATAGATCTTAATCTCATTGCCTTCACGGAGAACCTTGCAGTTTTTGCTGTTCAATGAAGTGGCATGCCTGGATAGGGCTTAAGGAGTAGGCACTAATGCAGCCATGGAAAGACAGGTCAGAGTATCATATAATGTTCTCTTCCTTCCCAGTGGCCTGTATAGTTGTGCTGCAAATTTCTATTGCTGCTACTGCTTCTGTTTGCAACACAATGACTGTATGCTTGTAAATGAGATGATGTTTGAAGTTGGAGGTCATTGTTTAAAATACTTGGACCTTGGCCTTAAAAGCGATTCATGTGCAATATGTTAATTAAATATACACTGAACTGAAATGTTGTGAATGTGATGAACTGAAGCCGATGGTGTAAAATGTAACACATGACTCTCACCATATGACACTTGATAAAGGGTCCTGACTCAGAACTACCAGCACATCCTGGCCTTGGCATTTGCTGTGAAGGAGATCAATGCCAACCCCCAAATCTTGTGCAATGTCACTCTTGGATTCCACATCTATAACAGTCATTTCAGTGCCAGCTGGACCTATCAAGCCTCCATAGAACTTCTCTCTAGACGGGCCAAGTTCATCCCTAACTACAAGTGTGATGTTGAGAATACTCCAGTAGCAGTCATCGGGGGACCAAACTCTAATGTCTGTTTTCACATGGCAACTATCCTGAGCATGTACAAGATGCCACAAGTAAGATGTGTGTGTGAAGCACCTCTAAGTTGAACAAGTCATTTGAATGCCATCTATCTATCTATCTATCATCTATCTATCTATCATCTATCTATCTATCTATCTATCTATCATCTATCTATCATCTATCTATCTATCATCTATCTATCATCTATCTAGCTATCTAGCTGTCTAGCTGTCTAGCTATATCTATCTATCTATCTATTATCTATCTATCATCTATCTATCTATCTATCTATCTATCTATCTATCATCTATTTATCTATCTATCTATCTATCATCTATCTATCTATCTATCATCTATCTATCTATCATCTATCAATCTATCTATCTATCTATCATCTATCTATCATCTATCTACCTTACTCATTTTTGTACCAAAGTCATAAAAATTGACAAGGTCTCATGGCTCAGTGACCCAAAGTAATATCCTACTATTTGTCCTTCTTTGATGGACCATTAGCTAAATTTTCCCAGGCCACCTAAATATAGCATGAATTCAGTTCAAGAGATTTTTTACCCATCTAATATATTGAATGTGAAAGTTTTCCCTAGCTTATATAGTCATGTATTGTGGTGGTGGGTGAGGAATGGGGTGAGCCGGACCACAGGTCAGATATATTATCTAGGATTATATATCTGATTCATTACATCCATATCAATCTTTCTTTAAAGATGTTTAGTACTGGATTGGTTCTGGTATTCAAGGGTAAAACAATTTGAGGGGGAAAGCACAATTTGTCATGTCTCTATACTCACAAAGCGGCAAATGTTTCTCTTCTCTTACCTTTTCAAAACTAGCTCATATATGGCTCTTCTCCAGTCATGAATAATGAAACTCAGGCTGTCTTCTTCCACCGGATGTTCCCAAATGGAGCCTTTCAGTACAAGGGAATTCTCCACTTACTTCTGCATTTCTCATGGACGTGGATTGGAGTTGTTTCCCAGGATGACGACAACACAGAGAGCTTTATAGAGAACATACTTCCTCTGCTTTCCCAGGGTGGCATCTGCTTCGACTTCATAGAAAAATTCCCCAAACTAACTTCTTCCAGTGGCTTTGGAGACATGGTAGGAGAAGGCTTAAAGACACTTAATGTCATTATGTCAAGTACTGCCCATGTTGTGCTTGTGCATGGAGAAATTCAGACCATGATGGTTTTGAGAGTCATGCCCCAAATTGCAGATATGGAGAATATGCCATGGAGGACAATAGCTAAAATTTGTATTATGACAGCCCAGATGGATTTCACATCATTCCCCTTCCAAAGAGATTGGGACATACATTTTCTCCATGGTGCTTTGTCCCTTTCAGTTCATTCAAAGGAGGTGCTGCTTTTCCACACATTTCTTCAGAACAGAAACCCTGCTTCAGTAGAAGAAGATGGCTTCATCAGGGAGTTCTGGGAAGAATCATTTGACTGTTCATTTCCCAGTTCTGCGGCACACAAGATGGACTGGAAAAGGTGTTCTGGGAATGAGAGGCTGGAGCTGCTTCCTGTTTCTGTGTTTGAAATGGGCATGACTGCTCATAGTTACAGCGTCTACAATGCAGTCTATGCAATAGCACATAGTTTGCATGTCAGCTATTTATCACAATTCAAATACACAGGAATATCACGCTGTGGAAGGTGGACGATTCTGAAGGCACAACAGTGGCAGGTGATGGTCTGAACATAATGGCCTGATCAGATGGAAGACACCACCACCTATTTTATGCAACAGCATTGCTTAGATCAGGGGTTGTCAACCTGGTCTCTACCGCCCACTAGTGGGCGTTTCAGGATTCTAGGTGGGCGGTAGGGGGTTCTAAGGCACAAGCCTAATCCTCCTTCCAACGAGCAGTGGTGGATGGTAAGGAAATTTTACCAACAAGAAAGATACATTAGAAGCAGTAGGTATAAAAGGTTGACTACCCCTGGCTTAGAGGGTTCAGAAATTTGCATTATTATTAAGGATAGAATATTGGCATCTAAATGGCAGTTGAAGAAATGACTTTCTTCTAAAAAAAACACAAAACCCTGCCCTCTGCAACTTATAAAAAGCTGAACAGTGGTTTGACTATAACTAGTGATGATAAAACTTTGTAATGGAACTATTTTAAAACACACATTGAATTTATGTGTATTTTTTGGGAAGTAGTTACCAGAACAAGAGAGGAGCGTTCTTTCAGTTTCCCACCCCTTTGCTTTAAAATGTAATTCGACCATCTCTCCAAGAGTTGTGTCTATTTCCATGAGCAGCCTGGTAGTCACAATTTCCTCAGAAATAACTTATTTAGAAGAATAATTTATTATCATATAGTATCACCCCAGAGGCATTGTAGGGTAAAAATGGAGCTCATCTGAAATTTTAGGTGATTTATTGTTACTGTTGATGCCATTGGCCTGTATAAAGACTTTTAAGGGAACACAATCTGAACACTCCAAGTAAAATATTTTATCACCATATTTCATAGTTCCATCTTTTGCACCTTTACACACTTACGATTTCTCTTCCTCATAATTTAGCTCCACCGTATTCTCAGAAGTATTTCATTTAACAACAGTGTGGGGGAAATGGTGTCCTTTGATCAAAATGGGGAATTGGCTGCTGGCTTTGACATTATAAACTGGGTCACACTCCCAAACCAGACCTTCTTCAGGGTTAAAGTTGGAAAGATAGACCCTCCGACTCTCCAAGATAAGAAAGATGCAGTGACCTCCCTGGACAACGTCTTCACCATTCACGAGGATCTCATCATCTGGCCCAAACAATTTAACCAGGTCCAGTCCTTGCATATTTCAGGGTGCATTTATAAATTTCCTCAATATTCAAGAAGTGAGTTATCTAGATACTCAAATGGTTGTAGTTCACTGTCCCCAGTGAAATCATGCTTTTGAACCAAAACATTCACCTTGCATAATGCTGGAACCTCATTGCTATGCAATGTCCTTTGGCCTTTTCATTGTTCTAGTCAAAGTTTGCTGGTAGTAGAGAAAATCTGATGACGATTCAACCACCCATCTAAAGCCATCCTGGACTCTCACTGGTGTGGCTGAAGAGCACTTTTGCAATCCTCTATCCTTTCAATGTTCCCCTCTTTCACGGTAGAGATTTAGATGAGTTCCTATGCTGGTATAAATCTCATTCCAATTTGGGGTTATTTCAGAGGGTGAAGGTGGCTTTTAATTCATTGGGTCAAATCCATTCCCTGATATTTCCTGTCACATCTCTCAATGGCCCAGACATGCCCTCTGGAACTGATGTTATTACACAAACCCACTGTGAAGCCTTTTCTTAAATGGATAGAGAAGACTGAGATAAAGTTTCCATAATAAAGGATCTCAATATAAGCACATTGTTATTTATTTTATGCACAGTCACAGCCCCTTTCCATGTGTAATGACCACTGCCATCCAGGTTATAGTAGGACCAAGAAAGAAGGAAAGCCATTTTGCTGCTATGATTGCTTTCCATGTCCAGAAGGGAAAATCTCAAACTGGAAAGGTAAGAAATTTCATATAGATAGTTGATCCAATCCGTAGCTCATCAAATTGAACAGCTATGACCTTGCTTATCCACATCAGTTTTTAAAAGCAAACGGAATCTAATTACCACCCTTTTCTCTGTACAAGACAACATAGCACATCATCACCCCCTCGGATGATGCTTCAAGGAGATTTGCCACTCCAGTTTTCAAAATGTGAATATAAACATATAAATATTTTTAAAACTGCATATGCACATAAATGTGATATAGAAAGTATGAAGTCTGAGGTGTATGAATATCTAAAACACTTTCAACCCTTCTGAAAATGCATTTTTAAAAATATTTCATCATCCCTTTAAAACACATGGCCTGAACATATCCCTGTATCTGGGAACAGGGATATGTACCTTTCCTACTGCAAGATTAACTTTGATATTTTTCTTCTACCAACACTGTTGCAAAGGAAGAAATAAATGAATTGATGCATGGTGCGTGGGCTGAGATTCTCATTTATGCATGCTATGTTCTTTGTATTCTGATTCCAGATATGGATGATTGCTTTCAATGTCCAGGAGATCAATATCCAAACATTGGTCAGGATACATGCCTTCCAAAAACCATCAGCTATCTTTCTCACAAAGAGCCTCTGGGGATCAGCTTGGACGCTGTTGCTCTCTCCTTTTCTTGCATCACAGCTCTTGTGCTTGGAATCTTTATGAAGAACAAGGACACACCCATAGTCAGAGCCAACAACAGGAGCCTCACCTACACTCTCCTCCTCGCCCTCCTGCTCTGCTTCCTTTCTGCTTTGCTGTTCATTGGACAACCGGAGGTTGTGACCTGCCTCCTTCGACAAATACTTTTTAGCATAATCTTCTCTGTGGCAGTTTCTTGCTTATTGGCCAAAACCACCATTGTGGTGCTAGCTTTCATGGCCACGAAGCCAGGGTCCAGGATAAGGAAATGGGTGGGGAAACAATTAGCCATCTCCATAGTCCTGTCCTGCTCCCTGATTCAAGCCACAATCTGTAGTGTGTGGCTGGCAACCACTCCCCCATTCCCAGACTTTGACAAACACTCAATGCCAAAAGAAATTGTGCTTGAATGCAATGAAGGGTCGACTGTCATGCTTTACTGTGTGTTGGGCTTCCTGTGTCTCCTGGCCATTGTCAGCTTCACGGTGGCCTTCTTAGCTAGAAAGTTGCCCGACAGTTTCAATGAAGCCAAGTTCATCACCTTCAGCATGTTGATCTTTTGCACGGTATGGCTGTCCTTTGTTCCCACGTATCTGAGTACCAAGGGGAAGTACATGGTGGCCGTGGAGATCTTCTCCATCTTGGCCTCCAGTTTTGGATTACTGAGCTGCATCTTTTCCCCAAAATGCTATGTCATTTTACTGAGACCTGATCTGAATAGCAAAGATCAGCTCAACATAAGAAAGAATTAAAATAATTAACAAGTCTGTCTGTTCAATTCTATATGGCACGTTTAAATAAATCTTTGAGATTAAATCACGTGTTACTCAATAGTGTGACATTAGAATTGAGACACTCCCTTCTGGATCCTTTCTATCAGTGGAATGGGGATAATGTTGAACATTGGGGAACTTTAATGAATATAGACTCATACAATTGAAGAGTTGGACAGGGTCTAATGTAGTAATCACAGCAAAAGGATCCCTGACAGATGTTCATCCAAACTTGGGTTAAGAATGAAGGGCATCACAGGAAACCTCAATTCTGACCTCTGATTGAGTTAAATATAACAACAACAACTTTTTTATTTCTACCCTGCCCACCTGGCTGGGTTTCCCCAGCTACTCTGGGTGGCTTTCAACAGAACCTTAAAAACAGAATAAAACTTCAAATATTAAAAACTAAACTAAACAGGGCTGCCTTCAGATGTCTTCTGATACTCGGATAGTTGTTTATTCCCTTGATATCTGATGGGAGGGCTTTCCACAGGGCAGGCCATACTACCGAGAAGGCCCTCTGCCTGGTTCCCTGCAACCTCACTTCTCGCTGTATGTGGGCTGAATGATGGGGGTGGAGATGCCCCTTCAGGTCTGCTGGGCCGAAGCCATTTAGGGCTCTGAAGGTCAGCACCAACACTTTGAATTGTGCTCAGAAACGTACTGGGAGCCAAAGGGCGGCCACTCCCAGTCTAGCTGCCACATTCTGGATTAGTTGCAGTTTCCAGGTCACCTTCAAAGGTAGCCCCACATAGAGTGCATTGCAGTTGTCCAAGCAGGAGGTAACTAGAACATTCACCACAGGTGAGACAGTCTGCAGGCAGGTAAGGTCTCACCCTGCATACCAGATGGAGCTGGTAGACAGCTGCCCTGGACACAGAATTAACCTGCGGCTCCATGGACAGCTGTGAGTCCAAAATGACCCCCAGGCTGCGCACCTAGTCCTTCAGGGGCACAGTTACCCCATTCAGGACCAGGGAGTCCCCCACAGCCACCCACCCCCTGTCACTGCAAAACAGTACTTCTGTCTTGTCAGGATTCAACCTCAATCCTCTAAACCCCTGCAACCTTGAAGAACAATTTCAGTGGAAACAGTCTGAGGAGGCTTGATAAAAGTTCAAAGTTGGGCTCCTGTGTCATTCCTGTCTGAATCAGTTTGGTTCCCTAGCTGAGATGTGTGCATGTCATAGTGTGTATCTGGGGTCCCTAGCGCCTTTGGCAAGGAGTTGTGTTATCGCTCCCCCCAAAATCAACTATGGGGGTCTTGCGTGTGCACTGCTCAATGGTGCCTACTAATAGTGCCAATTCATAACCGAGTCTCACGTCCCAAGGAGGGAATCATTTCCTCCCCATCCTTAGTTGGTGAGCCACAGCTTGAGGCTGTGTGACAAGCCCAGAGGGATGGAGGGAGGTGTCCCTATTAGATTTAGTAAAGATTTCGCCCATACTTTGATGAGCAAATTGTTTTGAGTTTTATTCACTGTTCCTCTGACTTTTTATATTTTAACAAATAAATATTTTACTCCACTTATATCTCCAAGTCTTCTTTTGAGTGTGGGGGCAATGTCAGTGATGTACTAAACATATTTTTGTGTGCAATGTTACTGAGGGAAATTATTTCTCCTACTATTATCATCAAGTTCATAGAAATAATTGATTCTTCTCCAAATCCCAGGAAAATTCAAGTAGCCACATGCCAACGATGAACAAAGACTCAATGAAGCTGTTAATATCCCCTGTTATATTCAAGCTTGGGCTGACCCTTGGTGTTCTATCAGTCTGATCAATTATTCCTTACACTGTAAAGATCTGGCATTTCTTGCCGTTCCAGTGAGACATGAAGAGTTACAACAGATCCATAGCATCAAATGTGTCCTGTTCACCCATCAGAGCTTTCATGTCCTTAGAATGCTTTTGCATTAGCGTTATTGTCCATGCCTTTTTGCCTCCACAGGGATAGATATGCCTTGTTCGAAATTTTGCACCTCTAGGTGATGCTTTGACTACGATAAGGGAAATGTGATTTTCTGATGCGATCTGATAGAAAACCTACAACTCAAAACTGGTAATTATCTCTCCTCTGATTATCAAGTTAATCATAGTCACTTCGGCTTCTTCTCTCCATCCCAGGGGAATCATACAGCAGCCACATACAAACTGGGAACCAAGGCTAGAAGATGCAATGAATAGCCCCTGTGCCATTCAGCGCTGCTAGACACAAGGCGCTCTCAGACTGATCACTGATTTCTTTGCACTGAACAGACCAAATTTGCATGGATGTTCCAGTGAGAATTTCCTAATCAGGAATGCTCTGTTGATAATGTGCAAAGAGGTTAATTGTTTCATAAAACCGTACATTCAAGACGGTGCTATATCCAGTATTCATATCAGTGTTGCTGCCTCCTATGTGTGCAAGCCTCCTCTTCCTCAGTGTCCTATCAGGGACCCACTTCCAATTCTTCACCAATATTATCAGTCTGGAGACGTCATCATTGCTGGCATTATGTCGCAAATCTATATAGCTTCGAGTATATTGACCTTCAAGAACCCTCCCTCTCCTGAACTTTTCGATCATACTTTGTAAGGAATTGCATTGTGGGGGGGTGGACGAGATGACTCTTGGGTCCCTTCCAGCACTAAGTTTCTATGATTCTATGTGTTATGAGTATGTTTATGCATTTACTGCATGGTGATAATGAACTGTGGTGGTGATTTCCACTAATCTCCTTTTTAGTATTTTGTTAGGGGTTAGAGAAGATATGATATCTCAAAATGCTTTCTTCAAGCTGTGTCAACCTTTGCTTTGGAATTTTTGCCTATAAATATGTTCTAGATTTAGAATTTAGCCATTTCAACTTTATCACATGGCAATATGCATAGCAGAAATTACATTTACTCTGATAAGGCATTCCGGTTATTTTAAATGGAAGTCTTTGGGTTTCTAGAGTTCAGCTTTGGTTTTTATCAGATATGTCAGGAATCATTAATCACTCAGACTTGGAATTAATAATAATAGTAGCAGAGTTGGCAGAAACAATTGTTTACATTCTGTGAATAAAGAAACACATTCCTGCTTAAAATTGGGCCCTAAGTCATATTCTGTTGTGTGAAATAGCTATAAAACTTTCAAATATCATTGTATAACATCTCAGTAGAATATTTGCTTTCTCTGTTCCAAATGGCTGTCATATTGGTGATTGCAGTTAAGACAATAAAATTGTGGGGGGAGGATATAACTTGATTTTATGAAGTCTTTCTCGTGCGTGCTATATTTTCGTATCCAGAGTCATTCATTGGTTAATTCAATCATGTGGTGTGTTGTTTTTTTTACATGTACAAAATTAAAGCACACTTCCCTTTCTGAGTTTTACCCAAACCAGTTTGGGGCTGGAGGGAGTGTTGTGCATTCATCTATGCATAGATTGGGTTAGTTAGCCGCACTAAAAGTACTGTTTAGGGAAGCCAAATGTCCAGGTTTGTGTGTCAATATAGCCAGAAGGTTCCCTGGGCTGTGGGGGATACAACCTATTTTTGCAAAGATGCACTGTTATGCCATACGCAGCTCTCATTCCAGGCCATTGACACAACTCTACCAACATATCCTGGCCTTGGCACTTGCAGTAAAGGAGATCAATGAAAACTCCCAACTCTTGCCCAATGTCACTCTTGGCTTCCACATCTATAACAGCCATTTCAGTGCAAGGTGGACCTACCAAGCCTCCATGGAACTGCTCTCTGGACAAGGAACACTCATCCCTAACTATAAATGTGATGCTGTAAGCACTCCAATAGCAGTCATTGGTGGGCCAAATTCTGATTTATATATTCACATGGCCACAATCCTGTCCATGTACAAGATGGCCCAAGTAAGAACAAAACAATCATAACCACAATAGAATAGTATCTTTTTAGTATTGGACAAAGCATTTCAGCCTGTGTGTGTGTGTGTGTGTGTGTGTGTGTGTGTGTGTGTGTAGGCAATAGGGGATATATATGTTTGTGTGTTTGTGTGCATGTGCATCTGCAGTAGGTGATATTTTTTAACCTAGTTCTATAATTCCTGAAATGACAATTTATTCTTCATGCTCACCTATGTAGACAACATAGGAGGAAGAATTTCTAATTGGACAGAATATTGAAAATTAATATAAATCGTGCAATCAAATTCCCAAATATTTCCAAAATCATTTTGTAAAAATGAGTCCCTCCACTAAATTCCACAACCTGTTATCCAATCCGACCATGATTTCAAAAATATTTGAAATATAATAGCCATACCCCAACCTCTATGCCTTCTCCTTCATTTGTCTCAGTTTGGTTGGTCCCAATTGAGCATCCTTAATAGATCTCTGAAAGGGTGCATCAACTGAGCAACCTAATTCCATCCATTTAAAATATCTGTCCCCTTTCAATGTTTCTGGTTCGTTATATCTCATTTGGTGCTCATTTAAAGAAGCCCCCCACACATAATGCCTATATTTGGAATCTATGCCTTTTTTGTATACTTCTTGAAAAGAATAAGGGAGTAAGAGCTCTCTCCCAAATACCTAGGACAGCCAGCCCTAGCACACTACTATCTTAGGGCACAATGCTGAGCCCTAAGATGAAGACCCTGATGTTGGGAAGATGGAGGGCACAAGGAGAAGGGGACGACAGAGGATGAGATGGTTGGATAGTGTTCTTGATGCTACCAGCATGAGTTTGACCAAACTCTCTCTCCCTCTCTCTCTCTCCCTCCCTCCCTCTCTCTCTCTCTCCTATTTACTTATTTTTTTCACTCTCTTCTTATTGCCTCTTTTTCTTTTGTTCTTTCATTGGAGTCCTATGTCTGGTGCCTTTATTAAGGTCCAGAGATTGTAAGCTCATGGAGATGGTAGATGGTTGATGGAGGACCCTGAGAGACAGGGTAATGTTGGCGAAATTTTAAAGGGGGTTCCTAGCCTGGAGGTTACCTTCTCAGAAGCCCAACAGAAGAG